GCTGGCTGGGGAATTCTGGGAGTTGAAGTCCGGACATCTTCAAGTTGCCAAGGTTGAGAAACACTGAGTTAGAAGATGGGGGTGAACTTGAGACATCATACCAAATGGAGATAAAACTCTGCCTACTAAAGTCAAAGTGGATAAATGTCGGCCCATGGACCCTCTGTATCCTTCCTGGCTTTTTCTGAATATCACTGAAGCTTTCCAGGACTATGCTACTAATTCCTGGCACAAAAGTAAATATAAATGTATGACAAACATCTACTAAATTTAAGGTAATTATCTCAGCAACTCTCTCCATCCCAGACAAGCATATTGAAAATTCTGATCTTAGTCTCTTGAGTGAGTTGTATTACCAGTGCCTGTAGTCTTGGCTATTGCTATTTTTTTAAAAGGCTACCAATATGTTAAATGAGAAGACTGAGATCTCTGTTGCAATTTCTATAATCAGAAGAGGATGAACCAACATCTGATGTCTCCTTTTCCCTGATGTCTACAGGAGAAAGAAATCAAAAGATTGACCCTCCGTGGCTGTTTTAGGTATGCATACTGTACTATTGTACTACACTAAAAATTAATTCCTTTTGGTTTCCTTGCAGAAATGAGAGCATTGGCTGAACTCCTTGGTCCTTATGGAATGAAGTTCCTAAGTGATAACCTCATGTGGCATGTCACCTCACAGATGGTGGAGCTAAAGGTATAAAGCTCAGTTGAGAGGGGAACAGATTGGAATCAGCTATTTTCTTACTTATTCTGGGCTCATGAAACCATAATATAATTTATTTGGTTTGAGCAGAGTTTTTTTGTGAGTCCCCTGCCATTCCTCATGGTGAAGTACAGTATATTAAGTGAGCTGACTGGTCTAGTTAGTCAACAGTGGCTTACTGCCTTTTGGATTAGAAGAAAAGGCACTGAGCAGAAGGTCTGGTTCTAGAAATTCTGCTATGGTTTCTTAGGGAGAGGTTTGAAGATTGGCATATGGCCATTTCTCAAAGCAAACTGAGAAGCAGGCTGCTCAAGATAAATTTTGTACAATCTCCAGAGTCGTCATACAATATCACCAAGTTTCATTCTTTCCAGAAACTTGTGACTGAGAATATGGATATTTTGGTTCAGATCAGATCCAACTACTGCCATCCAGAGCAGATGGCAACGCTGATGCCCCGCCTCTCAGGTAATGGTGATGTACTTGTTCTTCCCTGCCTCAAGTATTCAGTTGTCGGCGAGACTAATAGAGAATTCAGGGTTTATTTGTTCTTTTGGTTTTTAAAAGAAAACAGAGAGAAACCACAACTAAAGAAGTCAAATCTGTTTTGACTCTGGACTTTACTACTTACTTTTAAATGTATGTTTTCAGACCACATATTAGCACGGATGATACTATGTCTCATTTCTCCCTGTTTTGATAATTCCAATATTTTAGAGATTATAAATTCATTAGGTTTGACTCATCTTTCCCCCAAGAGCTCAGGATAGTGAGCATGACATTCCCACCACAAACTTTTTCCTCACAAGAGTTCTGTGGCATAATGTGAGCTGAGAGATCATGACCCCCCTCAAGTTACTTGGGAAGGTTTTATAGCTAAATGTGGACTTGAAACTGGATTTTCCTTTTTCTATAGCAGGGATGTCAAGCTCAAGGCCTGGTGGGGGGGCGGATGTAGCCCGTGGGGGTACTTAGATCTGGCCTGCAGGGCTGCCCTGGAAACAGCAAAGGACTGGCCTGTGGTGCTTCCGCCAGCTCACTTGAGCCACCACAGGCGTCCCGACACGAGTGACATTGAGCTGGCCACGCCCACCCGGCCCCAGGAGGTCAAATACAACCCTGATGAAATCGAGTTTGACACCCCTGTTCTCTAGCAGAATTTACCAAACTCTTTAGTAAAGCAGACTGGAAATTGGGTGTGAGGACAGAGCAAATTATGATGGCATAGTTTTGTCATGCGTTACAGCATATTAGGGCAACTATCTGGATATATCCTGAGACTAGCTAATAGGTTGGGGTGGGGTGGGGTGGGGTGGGGGGATGTGGAGGGAATGGAATAGAATATTATATTGGCAAACTTCTGTGCAGAGTTCCGCAAAAGTGGTTTCAGATTCTAAATATATCTGACATCATTAGAAACTTATTAGCAGATACAGCCTTGTAAAAGCTCCTGTTGTTCTAGACACTGGTTTTAAATATTGCAACTGTGTTGTGCTCTCACTCTAAAACTGTTTAGACCAGGGGTCTCCAACCTTGGCAACTTTAAGCCTGGCAGACTTCAAGTCCGCCAGGCTTAAAGTTGCTAAACTTGAAGTTTAAACTCTCTTGGCTTTCATAGAACTAACTCAACAACTTCTGTTGATGTTGAATAGTTTGTCCCATTTGGATGCCTTCTAAAGGTATTTATGGAAGGACCATCGTTCCCAACTAGTGTATCCTATGATAAGCTGGGTGATAGGGATAATGGACGTTGTACTTCAAATACAATCACACACAACAGCTTGGGATAAGCTAAGCTAAAGGTCTTGTGGCTCCTGGAAAACTGTGTCTAATCACAATCTCTTCTGTCCAGGCATAGATAACGTTCTAAAAAGGATGACAATTATTGGGGAAATTCTGTGGTTCCGGTCAATGGCACAGGAGGGACTTCAAGGGGTAAGTGGTGGGACCCTGATACACAAAGCTACAAACAACGGCTTGCTCCTTGCTTTGTTTTTGGATGGAGGGAAGGCAATTAAGCAGGAACTTGTAAGCAAAAAGGGTAGATCCCATTTGTTGCCTCACCTCTTACATTCTAACATGAACAGGTGTTCACCAATCGTTGCCCTTTCCTGATGGGACCCATTCAGTATCTGAAAGAATTTGTCAACCCAGAGATGGACATAAAGGTAAAATTGTCCATGCTTTTCTTTTTCTTCTTGTATGAAACCTGTGGCCAGGTGGGTCCATTCGCTGCATTTTCTGAATGCTATATTGACAACAGTACTGACTCTACCAGCTCCATTGTCCTTGCTTTATCAGTATGCAGAGGAAATTGTGGAGGTGTAGGAGAGGGCTGACTTTGCAAGTGCCTTTTATCAGTCATCCTAGAATGTGTACATCATGCTCACACAGACAGTAATCTGAAAGAAGACTTCCTATCCATGTGGAGTCTGCCGATTCAGTTTAAATGCTAATTTTGCCTTTAAAAAATGCCTTTAAAGATGTTACAGAGAATGCCAGCATCTTTAGCATTCATTCAATACATATCTTACAAAAGAGCTGGTGAATCTCTTAGCATAGATTAGATATGGACAGCATTTGACGGGTTGGGAGCTGGAATTGCCAGCACAGTGGCGAAGATTGTTAATCTGTGTCCCACAGGTAGCCAACCAGCACCTCAAGTTCTCACTGTCAGAATTTGACTCCTTCCCTGTGTCAGAATGCCTTTTGGGAGCCCGTTTCAGTTTTTTAAAATACAGCGTGTCTTAAGGTTAGGCATCGTAACATTCTGGGAAGCCCCAATTTTAAAATCCTCCAAACACTGAAATGGGCTGTGATTCCCCCCCCCCCCCCCCCCCGCCAGTGATTGTGAATCAAGAACAGAAAATAGGGTAGCCTACTCTTTCTATGACTTCTTGAGAGCCCTTCCTGTATATTTCTGGGACCGTTAAAAGCCTGAATTGCAACTCCCAACCCCTCAAACACTGTCCATAGTTAATCTAAAATAAAAGATTCACCAGCTCTTTTGTAAGGTATATATCAGTGATGGTGAACCTTTTTGTCCTTGGGTGCTGAAAGCCCGTGTATGTGTGTGTGCGCTGACACTTATAATTCAATGCCCCCCGCAGGCCCCACCCCTGCGCATGCACGCATGACCCCATTTTGGTGCCCACCCCCCGTTTTTTGTCCCAGGAGGCTTCAGGGAGGCCTGCTAGCACCAAAACGGGGTGGGGATGCGCCCCCCTTTGCGCATGCCAGCAGAGACCTGTCTCCCCGCAGAGACCTGAATACCAGCTGGCCGGCGGGAGGCATATGCGCATGCGCAGTGGAGCTCACCTGAGCTATGGCTCGTGTGCCCACAGAGATGTCTCTGCATGCCATAGGTTCACCGTCATGGGTATATATTGACCTAATGCTAAAGATATTGGTTTTCTTTGTAACACCTTTAAAGGCATTTTTCAGCACAGTTCTGAACGTGCTGAATGTAGGAACTTTATTATTTCAGTGTCCCAAATCTATATTATCTGCATATTTTCAATCATTGCATCAAAGAGCGGAAGAGATGGAAGAGTGTAGCCCACTGGCTCACATTCCTACATTAACTTTTAAGGCCCACCTTTCTATGTCTCTGTCCTCTTTCCTTTTTTCTCTCCGTGCTGCTCTGTTAATGAGGCACCTCTTTCAGTAATAGCGTCTTCTATCTATTAAATGACTTTCAGTTCAGTCTTAGTTGATGTTATGGCTGTGTCATTGCATTTTTTTAGCATCTCTGGAGCATCATTCTATCTTGACAGGTGATGGGCTGATGCATATTCTATCTCCCACACCTACACATAGCAGGGACAATTGAGCAAATTGTCTCTGTTATCTATTAGATTAGATTTGTTAGGTTTTTTATCCTGCCTTTATTACTTTATAAGTGACTCAGGGTGGCAAACATGCATAATTCCTCCTCCTCCCCAACCCCACAACTATTCTGTGAGGTTGGGTTGAGAGAGAGAAGGACTGGCTCCAAACGATCCAGCTGGCTTTCATGTCTGAGTTGGGACTAGAACTCACGGACACTGGTTTCTAGGCCAGCATCTTCACCACTACACCAGCTCCATTTGCTCTGCTTGATTTTTATTTTATAATCTTTCTAGGCCAGTGTTTCTCAACCGTGGCAACTTGAAGATGTCTGGACCTCAACTCCCAGAATTCCCCAGCCAGCGAACGGAATTCTGGGAGTTGAAGTCCAGACATCTTCAAGTTGCCAAGGTTGAGAAACACTGTTCTAGGCAATTTCAGGCTATGAGCGGAACATAAGCAGACTCTTTTTCAATCTGGCATTTTATTCTGATTGACAGCAGCTCTCCAAGATCTTTAGCTGTATTTGCTAAATATTGGAGTGGGGTATGTGTTATGGCTTCCTCCACTGTGAAATTTTAATTCCTAAGTCACCTGGGGGAACCATGTGCAAGTTGGACAGCCTTATACATTTGTTTAATAGATAGGTACATAAATAGATTTGATTGGTTTTAACTGAACATGCCAGGGATTGAATCTTGGACCTTCTGTATGCAGAGCAGATGCACTTGTTAAGCAATGGTCATACATGAGCATTGTCTTCATACTTTTATTGACAGTGCTATTTGAGCCCCAAATCAGTACTGTAGAAGGAGCTACATCAAAGCATTATTATATATCTTGCTTAATCCCTTAATCCCCATTCCTGACTGAGATGGACTGAATGAACTGCTGTGCTACTAACCGTGCTTTTCCATTACTTGGAGAGTTTGGCAGAAGTTCATCAGTGTCTCTGGAGAACCTGCGGCTTGATCTGTTTTAATTAGAGATGCCACGGAAGCAAATTTAGATCTTAATTTTGCCCTTTCCATGGTGTATCCTTGGTTTCTCTGTAGCTGCCCCGGCCCTATGGAACGATCTACCCCCNCAAAAAAGTTGGCAGCTCGGTGGTTCGAATCCCTAGTGCTGCATAATGGAGTGAGCTCCCATTACTTGTCCCAGCTTCTGCCAACCTAGCAGTTCAAAAGTATGTAAAAATGCAAGTAGAAAAATAGGGACCACCTTTGGTGGGAAGGTAACAGCATTCTGTACACCTTCGGCATTTAGTCATGCCAGCCACAAGACCAGGAAGACGTCTTCAGACAGTGCTGGCTCTTCAGCTATGAAACGGAGATAAGTACCATCCCCTAGAGTCAGGAACGACTAGCACATATGTGCAAGGGGAACCTTTACCTTAAAGAGTGTAAAGAGGTAGCTGTACCAGTTGGCTTGGGACTCCAGTGAGGGATCAGCGCAATGAAGATGGTTAATTGAGTAATAGTAGATCGCACCTCTCCCTCTCCCACTCCATTCCCTGCCTTCCCCATGTGTTTTTTGTTTTAATGTTTGTTTTTAACTTTTATGTTTTGGATTTTATGTATCTGTAAGCCGCCCAGTGTTACCCTATGGTAAGATGGGTGGCCCATAAATTTTATAAATAAAATGAAAATTAAATTAAATTAAATTAAAAATATTATACTGCAGATTAGTGACTTGAGGGTTGCAAGTTGATAAGTGTATGTGTGGGGCTTTTTTTAATTGTTTGTCCTTGTTTTCCCCATCTTGCCCATAGGTGTTTGGCGCGACTGGTAAAACCAAACCCAACTTCTCCAGAGATAGTGCGTCCCACAGAAGTATTAGCAGGCGTGCAGGCCTATGCTACTTTCCTGGTGTCCCTGATGCATCGTGTAGGAGTGGATACTTCGCGCCTCCTCCGTGGAGTGCTCCTGCAGCACACCCAGCCGCTGGATGCAAGCGGGGAGCCGACAATGACCACACTCTATACCAACTGGTATGAGCCGAGGTGGCGCAGTGGTTAGGGTGCAGTACTGCAGGCCACTTCAGCTGACTGTTATCTGCAGTTCAGCGGTTCAAATCTCACCGGCTTAAG